TGTATTGCTTTTGGCAGGATGGACCTCCACACCTTTTTATCTGCTCATTTTTACTTATTTCACCTGTTAATGTTTTATAAAATAGGACTTCTCCCCTCAAGGCTGGTCAACCTTCGCTCTTCCACCACTAAAGAACCCATAGATCTCCACCAAAATAAACTTTGCTTTCTTTCCACTTACCATTCTCACCCCTTCTTTTTTGTTGAATATCTAAGATTTTAATAATCAAAGCCCAACTGTACTGTCTTTAAGAATAGTACAATGGCATTTCAGTAAGAATTTCTGTGGGAGTACCTACAGTTAGCTTTTTAAAAAGATAAGATACTGGTTTTCTTGTGGTGAACAGTATTCCATTTGTAGTTTATTATTTAAAGAATGTGTACCAGAAAAAAGAAATTGTGTCTTTTTTGTTCACTTCAAAGGAACCCCGAAAATTAAGCTACGCTGAAGTATGTCAGAAGCCCCCTAAAGAGCCAACTCCACTTCTTGTGCAGCCACTACGAGAACTTCGCTCCAATGTTGTATCTCCCACCAAAAACGAAGAGAATGGAGCTCCTGAGAAGTCCATTGAGAAACCACATGAGAAGCCAGAAGCAAGGGCTAGTAAGGATTATTCTGGCTTTCGAGGCAATACCATTCCCAGGGGAGCAGCTGGAAAAATCAGGGAACAGAGACGCCAGTTTGGCCATAGGGCTATACCTCAGGGAGTGACTCGACGTAATGGCAAAGAGCAGTATGTGCCACCCAGATCACCAAAGTAAAAAAAAAAAAAAGAAAGAAAGAAAAGAAAAGGAAAAAAAAAAACTATTCAAAAACTTCTCTCTCTTCCCATTAAACTTGAGCCGTGGCTATATTGAACTATTTTGGAGGGGAGTGGGTAGCCAGGAAGGAAACAGGAGAAAAAGTACACCTTTAGGTCATTATGGATTTTGGAATTGTGAGCGGTAGTATCCCAAAATTCATCTCTAAAGTGATTTTAGTATGCTGGAGGATTCCAATCAGTATAAATATAAATATATATATATATATGTATACATATAAAAATATAATTTTTCTATTTTTGTTTTTGATTTTCGTTTGCAGAAATCTTCTGCCTGGAATCAATTTTGAGGGTTCAGATTTAGCTTGGGGTAAAAGCATATTATACATCCTTCAGTAGAGGAGAGGGAGTGAGAGAAAATATTTTTTGAAGAAGCATTTCTGTAAAATTAGAAATTACTTTTTTTAATCTATTTAAAGTTTGGCTTGGAGAATGCCATCTCTGCCTATATGGCCTTGTGTTGCAAAGCAGATCAGTGGCTGGGGTGCTTGTTGTGGTGTGAGTACGTATGCAAGAGTGATTGAAGCCAAAACTGTTGTCATGTTAGTAAATGATTTGAAAACTGAATGTAATACTTGAGTAGGTTTTTTTTTTTCCAGTTTGAAATTTAGTCTGTCTTTTCGACTTTACTAATATTTCATGCAACAAGCTGTTAAACATTGATTGTACTTGGAATGTGACTACCAATCAGTTTGATACTCAAGACAAGAATGGGGATTATTTTAAAAATTGAAATTTTGTCTTAGATCTAGTGGATAGGTCAAATGGACTTCAGAAGTTTAAATTGCCCTGCGTTTTCCTTACCTCCCTCTGCCACAATAGTAAATAATTTTTGTTTTTTCATTTGTTACTTATTTCATTACCTATTCCCCCCCAAGAAAAATAACGAGCCATCTACAGAATTGTATGTTTCTAACTGCTTTAACCAGTCTAGTCAAATCATATAACTATTCTAAATTTCTGAATTTGAAATATTTTACTTTTCTGTTTGTGTATTTAGAATTTTAAATCCAAGATTGGTAGGGCAGACTGATCCTACAGTAATTTATTTGTCTTAGTATTAAAGATGAAACATAACTGACTTTTAACATGTTAAATAGTATAGAAGTAACAGAATTTTTTAAAAGGCTTAATTTGGGAGCAACTTTTTTCTGTTTACAGTGTATTTATCACCTTCCTACCTTCCCCTTTTCCAAAATAAAAGTAATTCAGTTTGAAATTGACAGAAACATAACCAGCAAGTCATGAGAGTCTTTGTGTTAAGATGAAAAAGATAGTTGAGGAAAATTAATGCATAATTTCTCAGTGAATAAAGTTGTGTCTCTCATATTAACTAGGCAGGTTTACATGCTGGTGTTTAGAAAATGGCTAAAATATTAAAAACCATGTTGCATTAATCTGTTTTTCAGTCATACTATTTTCACAGTTCTCTGTAAGGTGGGATTTTGTTTTATTTTTAGGGATAGTTTGTAATAGTAATAACTGTCCCTTATGTTAGTAAATTACATATGTAACTGTAAATTGTGAACACTGGAAAGCACCATTGTGACATAGAGTAAACATCTTAGTAATATATTAAAATGAATGTAAATGGAAGTTAAAATTACATTACTGTGAAACTCATCTTCCAACTCTAAGTTAAGCTTTGGAGATTTGTATTAGTAGGCAATTAATTGTTCAGAGCTTTGAAAAACACTGCACATTTCTGTACAAGCCAGAATTATTATTTCTTTGTAACTTATTATTCAGCTTAGCAGTTGCTTTTGATTTGGTGAATTGATAACATGGCATAATATATTTAAGCAGTTTGAAACTATTCATTTCTGCACACTATTTTTAAAAATCATCTTTTAGACGAAACAGTAAAACTACCTGTGCTGAAATTTGGGGGAAGTTTAGGTCGTTAAAAAAAAGAAAAAAAAAGTATTAATAATCATTGACTACATCTATGATCAAAGTGCTTATTTTGGTTTACTTAGATAATGCTGCAGTTGGTGGAAATGATAAACGTTTAAAGTGTTAACACTCTGAATGCATTGGATTTAAGAGAATAAATATTTTATAAAAATCACTTGGTAAGGATTATAAACTTGATTATTGCACTTAAAATGAAACATTACCTTTTTTTACAATGTGTCACAAAAGTAGGTTTGTATTACTTGTGTGCTCGTGTGACTTAATGTTTGTCTATTCAACTTCTAAAAACTGAATGTTCTAATTGAATCACAAGAGTCTTTTTGAAGAAAGCAAGTGTTTCTTGCCTTTCCCCCAAATGTTATTGAAAGAAGAAATTAAAGACATGACCTTTTTAAATTTCTTATAAAATATAGTGTTTTTAATTTAATTTGCCTTATTACAGTTAATAGTTACCATTTTGATGGGATGTATAGAGGAGGAGTAATTTTATGTTGTGTGTATTATATATATGTACATATATATATTCACAGTATGTATTTAGCATTTATTTTATTACAGCAGATTTAAGGTTTGTATCTAAATGATGCCTGAGTTGTGTGAAACTGTTGGCTTTTCTTCCAGAGTTACTCTGTAACTGATAAGGGTTGGGTTTTCATAGTAGTTCAGCTATTTATTTGGTTCTATAGGTGGAATGATTTAAATGTCAAAATTTTCTCTTCATCCCATGACTTAACACTTCCTCAGGTAGTTGGAGGCTAAAAGTAAATATACTGATTAATGATTGAATGTATGGTACAGTGATCTCTTGCCATAGTTCTAACTGCATGAAGAAAACAAGTCATCACCTTGTGCTTCATGGGGAAGGTACCATAGGGGTAGTGCAAAATCCTATCTCTGTTTTCTGTCCTGATAAGATTTTCATGATATCTAGGGCCTATCTCTAATCTTTGTGATTTCATTTTTGTAAGTATAGACACTGGCATTCAAAAGTGATCCAACTAAATTTTTTATCAACTGGATTTTGGAAGAAGATGAGATCTTTTAGTGATACTGGGTTTGTTACTGGGCTTGTTGTCACCTTATGCTGATCATACGTGGTCAAAGGACATACAAAATTTTGATTTCATTTTGCTTCTAAAACTAAGGTAGCTTGAATATTGTTTTACATTCCTTTTTCCTTTTAAATTACCAGGTTAGCTTTACAAATGACTTAATGATGGCGTGTTCGCATCTTCACTAGTGTAAGAGAGAACAAGGAGCAAGAAAGTAGTATTTATTTTTCTGCTGTAGCAGAAAATGTATAAAAGTTAGTGAACACTTTCTCTAGTTTTATTAGTTATGGCCTTAATATTTAGTCTTTTGTCTTAAATGTCAACTGGTTTTACTTTGAGACAGTTGAATAGCACTGGAGTTGAGGCTGTGATACTGTGTTGGCCATGTATTTGAACATTTTTAAAGTACCCATTTTTTTTCCAGAAAAGATCAAAGGCGAACAGGACATTGTATTGCTTTTGAAAGACTTTTATAAAAATTCTTAGCTATCACATATGATGGTTTTCTAATTTTTTATATTTCCTTACATTGTGGTGGCCATGAATCTAACTTAAGGCTTTTGGTGTACGCTAATTTAGCTAGTCCGAACTTCCAGGAAGATACATAGACATTTCAGTTTCCATTAACTAATTGAGGACATTGTAAGCAGCTGAAAGATAGTTTGTTTTCAACTTGAGAATAAATTCCCTTTGTAAAGTTCACCTGACTATTGGAATTTGAATTTTATTTTAAAAGCTGAGGACTTTAATGAATCACTGAGTAGATAGTTCCTAAAAGTACAGATTAGCTATCAACAAGCCAAATATAAAATAATATGTATGTGGTTTTATTTTCAGCACAAAACAATGATTAGTATATATAAAGAAAGATCTACTTTACCTTTTCCCCTCCACCCACCCTCCCACCCCCCACCCCCCAGACTGATTCAGGTTATCTCTTGAGTAAAGTCTCTTAAATGTTTGGGAAGTGAAATCAGAACCAGTTATCTGGCTTTTATTTTGCCCATTGCTTAGATTTGTTCGTGTTGTCAAAACTACCCCCATCTCTCAAAATGGTATGACACATGCTCACGCATATTATGTTAAAATGAGTACATCCTTGTATTTGTATTTTTGTTTTCAACATTGCCAAGGTGCTATGGGAAATTAACACAAAACTAGAAAAAAAATAAAATGGTTAAAAAGCAGGACTGGTTTCCTTTTCTCTAGGTGGCTTATGTCTAATAACTACTTGTGTTTACTTCTGGGTAATCATCTATGTTGACCTTCCTAGTTCCATCACTGTCCTGAATTCAGCTGTTTATTGTTTTGTTTAGCATTATTTTGGAAGGGTGGTCTGGGAATGTTGCATTTCATCAGAAAGTAAAGTAGAGAGCTAGAACATTTCACTTCATGATGCTGTGCTTCAAATTCTTTTAGTGTCAGAAACAGCTAAGGAGAAGATATTGTAGGGCAGTGTGCAGCTTGAGGATTTTTGCCTTCATGTGTGTTATTATGGCCTGATAGAAGTATGCAGATTCTAAAGTTGTAAACTCATTTTCAAGAGAAAAACATTAGATCATTGACCTTTTCAGCCTTAAGGTTAAATTGCCATCAAACCTTAGAGCAAAAGAGTTGGGGAGCTTTAAAGGAAGCATTCATTGGGAAATTTAAATGAGACTTTAATTTTGTTTTTAAACATGTAAGAAGGCAAAAATGGGAAAATGGAGCGAATCTTTGATGTTTTTAACAGCAGGCTTCAGTAAATTAATGTGGCAGGTCAACTTTTATTGGGTATAGCATTTACAGAAAAGAGTTTATATAGCTTTTATACCAGTTTATTCTCAAGTTGTCTAGTGAGGAAGATGAACTTATTAATAGTAGAAATCTGTCTATTACCTGTAAACTAATTCCAAATTAGATTCCCTAATTCTTAGAAATATTCAGAAATGTTTACTATGTGGCCCAATTATGGGGTAACATGAATGTGTTTATAAATCAGGTAATAGTTTTCGTGTGAACAGAATAATCAAGTAATAATGTTACAGGGGTAATGTACTAACAGTGACTAGGGGGATTAGATCATTGTTAGACTTTGTCCAAAGAGGAGGGCATGCAACTAAAATTTCTTTATCGTATCAGGAACTGATGGTGTTTTCTTTTTGGTGAACTAATAACCAAATTGGTAAGCATTGTTATGTAGGCTTTTGTGTTATATTTTAAATGAAATGGGTTTGTTTTTTTTTTTAAATAAGTTTATTTTTACATCATTTTGTACATTTTTTTTTTCCCATCTCAATTGTAATCCCCGCGGGTTTCCCATCATCAAGTTACCGGTGTGCCATCACCATAATCCCGTGCATTTCCCGACGCCGTCCCCCCCACCCCCGATTTTGATCCCATTCTCCATTCCACCCCTACAAAATGTCTCTGGTATATGGCTGTTCATTGTTCTTGTTATTTTCTCTCCTGGTCCATTATACTCCTGCTATGAGTGAAACCATCCGGTATTTTTCTTTCTCTTTCTGGCTCATCTCACTAAGCACGATCTTTTCCAGCTCAAAGTGAATGGTGTTTTTAACAGTCCCATCACTGAGGTGCTTGAAACGCTTAGAATTAACTATACCTTTAGAAAGTATGTCAGTGTGTTTTGAAGGTTACATTTCAATTCCTTTTATTCCTGGATAATTTCTTTAAAGATTTATTTTGTTTGTGCATATAAGAACCACGGAGGAGACTAGAGGTTTGGTGGGGGCGGGAGGTTGTTACCAGAAACAGTGCGGAACACTGCTGAGGGGAGCAGTGGGCAACACAGGAGGGGTCTACTGTGTCATATGGGTCAGTTTCATGGCCAGGGATTAGTGGCTGCAGATAGCCTGGATACTTTTTTTATAAAAATAATAGTTTATTTTTACATCATGTTGTGTATTTTTCCATCTCAGTTGCAATCCCCTTGGGCTTCCCATCACCATATCACCCTGTGCCATCACCATAGTCTAGTGCATTTCCCTACCCTCCACTGTTTTGGTCCCATTCTCCACTCCACACCCCACAAAATGTGTCTGGTCTATAGCTGTTCATCATCATCATCATTTTCTTGCCTGTTCCATTAGAGTCCTGCTATGAGAGAAACCATCCGGTATTTTTCCTTTTCTTTCTGGCTAATTTCAACTAAGTTGAGCTTCTCCAGCTCCATCCATGTTGCTGCAAAAGACATGTGTTTCTTTTTTTTGGTTGTTGAGTAATATTCCATTGTCTATATGTACCACATCTTTTTAATCCAGTTATCCATTTTTGGGCATTTGGACTGTTTCCATGTCTTTCCAATTGTGAATAAAGCAGCAATAAATATGGGGGTGCATAGCCTGGAAACTTTTATAAAACAAAATTCAGGTCACTTTGAAGGGTTATGAATTTCCTTAAAAGTTTATGTAAAGAAAATAACTTTTTTTTTATAAGAAAATTTAAAGGATCCAGGATCTTGCTTTGCACTGTATAGTACTGCCAAGTAAGAACCTTAATTTTTTTTCTGGTGTGGGAAATTTTAAGAGGCCTAAACTTTTATCTTCAAAAATTCATTTTCTGGTAGCTGCTATACAAATTGGTGAAGCTGCTTTCTTGTGTTTCAGTTGTATCAGACTTAACAGCAGGACTCCAGCCTCCCTATAATATGAATAATTTTAGTTATAATTTGAATAATTATATTGCATTTCCCCCATAATCTGTATTTGATACTTTATATAATTTTTTTACATTATTGTTCAATTTGTACATCTTTTCATCTCAGTTGTAATCCCCATGGACTTCCCACCAGTTTCACCCATGTGCCATCACCATAATCCCTATGCTTTTCCCACCCTAGTTTTGATCTTGTTGCCCTCTCTTCCTCCCCCATAGAATATCTCTTATTTATAGTTGTTAGTTGATGTTCTTTTTTACTTTATTACAACTACTATATCATACACACATATATATTTTTCCTGATCCTTTACACTCCTGCTATGAGTGAAACCATCTGGTATTTTCCTTTTTCTTTCTGGCTGGCTTCACTAAGCGTGGTCTCTTCCAGTTCCATCCATGCTGATGCAACTGGCATGAGTATCTATGATTGCTGAGTTTGTGT